GCCGCCCGCGCGGGGATCCTTCGCACGTGCCACAGCACGTGAGACGTTGATCAACAAACCGCTGCCATCGGCACGGAGGCCAGCGTTCAGAGCTGCCTTGAGATCACCGCCCCTGAGCACCAATGCCAGGAACAAGAAACCACAGCGTCGGGGCACGCACTCGCACGCGGCTGAGAGCAATCGGATCTGTGGCGCCCACAACAAGACCAACGTTCTTGTTGTAGTTCCACACTGTCTCTGCGTGCTCTGCGACCGACTCGTACAGGTGGCGGCCGTTCACGCGGAGGCACTGAATTTCATTGGAGCCCTTATTGGAGGTCTTGCAGAGGACAAACACACCCTTCGATGTGTACTGCAGGAACGGCGAGAGGGAGTCGCCACCCATGTACGGGGACGTCGTAATTGCATGAGCTTTGAGATGCTCAAAGGCAGACTTGGCGTAAGCCTCTGCAGTATCAGCAATGTCGCCACGCTTAGCATCCAGAACAACGGGAATGTTGGCCGGAACGTGAGCAATCACCTGTTGCAGTGCTTTCCAACCCTCCCCACCAAAAAACTCAAAAAAAGCGGCGTTTGGTTTGTATGCGGCGGCGTATTCCGCTGTAGCGTCAATCAGACGCATGCACTCCTCTGCAGCTTCCGCTGCTGTCTTTGCGCGGGAGTCCAACCCAATGCAGAGCAGCGTCGACTTTGCCCGCTCATTGAGCATGTCAAAGAAAGCCATGGACATAACTCCCCTTCTCTTTTCTCTTTTTTTTTTTTTGTTGTTGTTTTTTCTCGCCTTATCTTCAAATTCAGTGTTGATGAGAATAAAGTAATCCTCTTTTTTTTTGTCCTGCGGGCACGTTTTGCCACGCCTGATAACTGGACGCCGTGTTGCTCCTTTGCCCTCGGACTCCAGCCGCATTTGTAAGCATCAACGGGAAATCCATTTATAAAAAAAAAAATTTAATAAAACAACATCAACGCCACGTAAAGACCTGAAGACTACACAGCATGACAGCCGCTAGGCGTCGTGGCAGCAGCACTCCAGAAGGAGCTTACTTCACCATCCCCCTCTTCCATGTCTCCTACTTACCCACCCCGCGTTCGTTTACAACCCCTGAGGGCAACGACACCAATACCATAAAAACACCTAAATAGCCTTACCAACAAGATGCCAGTTCGCGTACGGCGACCAGCCACACTTGGATTTCAATTGAGACTCCTTCACAACCCACTCCATGGAGAGGTCAAAGAAACGCTGGCTTTTCTCCGATAGCCCTAGGCCAAAGATACGGTTGGGGTTAGTGTGCATGAGCCGCACAATGTCCCCAATTGTCAGTCTTCGTGCCTCAATTGCCTTCGGCATTGCCGCTGTTGGGTGCGGCCAGCGCCCCGCACAAACTGTGAGAAGCAACGGAACAACCACCTCAATAGAAGGCATTCCACTTGGCGGGTTCGTCGCGTCGCTTTTCTCTTCCAGCGTGTGTGGTGCGTGGTCAGTACCAATGCAGTTCACTGTGCCGTCCAGCACACCCTCCCAGAGCCGCTCATGATGCTCCGGGGGACGCACAGGAGGATTCACCTTCACCCGCGCCCCACAGCAACCATAATCCCCCGTCGTCAAAAACAGATGATGCGGCGTCACCTCCGTCGTGACATGCAGCCCCTCTGCCCGCGCCTGACGGACAAGCTCCAGACCTTCACCTGTTGAAAGATGAGCGACATGCAGGCGTGTGCCGTGACGTCGGGCCAATTCAATACCGTAGGCGATGGACGCAGACTCTGAATGAACCGGGCGTCGCAATGAGTGCGACGCCGGCCCTGTGTAAGGGTTCGCAGAACAA